CAGCCTCCTGAATAGCAGGGACTACAGGTGCGCACTGCCATGCCTGATTAATTTTTCTATTTTTTATAGAGAGAAATCTCACACTTTTCCAGGCTGGTCTCAAACTCCTAACCTCAAGCAATTCTCCCACTGTGGCCTCACATCAGAAGTTTTTATCTTTGTTTTGATTGTAGGCCATAAGAGTTACTTTTCTGTTGTTGTTGTTAAACCAAATTTGAATTTAAAAGATAGTTTTAATTGTTTCAATTTAATGACTTGCCTAACATTATTTTAAACTAGCAATTATAAATTTGTAAAATTTATAAAAATTAGCTTTTATTTTTCCTTCCAACTAATGGTTTGAATTCTTACAACTATATATAATTCTTTGTACTAACTAAAAGTATCTTTATCTATTAACAGTCCATTGCACGGATTGTTTCTACTTTTTTTAAAGTACGTTTTGTCACTATGACGAAATAGTAGCAACAATTAAAAAATTGTTAAAATTTTCTATGTTATTGGATGGCCAAACAGATAATGGCAGGTCCTGAAAGGAGAAAGGTGCTGAGGGGGGAAGAGAATGAGGAAAATCAAAACTAAATAGAGGAAAATGTATGAAAAAGTCATCCAAGAAATGGGAAGAAATGAAGGAAGAGAATTGTTGGAGAAGTAGGGATAAAGAATCTTTATCTCTGTAGCTTCCTCAAGGCAGCTTGAGGATAGTGAAATCCAGCGTCAGAGGAAGAGGGAATAAGAAGCAGAGAGAAATTAAATTGGGTTACTGACAGAAAAGAGGGATTATTTGGAAAAGAAGATATAAAGGATAGGAGTAAGAGGAGTGGATGCCTGGAAATGGAAGCAGGAAAATGCAAGAAGGGGATTGAAGAAGAAAGACAAGGTGTACACCTAATGTTGTACACCTTTAGTTGGAAATTTAAATGACCCACAGAGGAGTTAATTGTCTTTGTCTTCTATTATGTGTATTACCTGTGCATTGTAGATGAGTTTTTCCCTTAGGAACTATCCAAATTAAGGCTATTTCTGTCTTTCTGTATGCCTTAATAATTGATAACTATAATATGGCAATTTCACTATCAATCTATTGATGTTTGAATACCATTTATTGAATGTTTAGATACATTTGTCTGACTCAGTCGTTAAGACAGATTTTATACCTATAGGGCATAACTAATCAATGCATTATTGATGGAAATTCCTAAAGGAACATAAAACCCAATTTTGATCATAATAACTTAAAACTGGGAATGCTTAAATAGGAAAATAAAATGTAAATTTTAAAGACTCCAGATTGCATATATTTTGATTCACCAAAGAATCTATATTTTAATCTGCCATAGAATCTTTTCCAAATTCTTAGGAATGTTTTCAGTTTCAGTAATTTTTTTAAGATGTCCAGATAAGATTGTCTCAAATATCTTTTAATTATCCAGAGCAAAGATGATCTGTAAATTCTAATGATATAAAGTGAATTAGATAGTCAAAAGAGATAGTGATCAGTATACAACTTTATTACAGCTGTCTTAGTCCATTTGTGCTGCTGTGACAGAATACCTGATACTATGTAGTTCATACAGACCAGAAATGTATTGGCTCTTAGTTCTGAAGGCAGGGAAGTCCAGTATCAAGTTACTGGCATCTGGCCAGGGTGTTCTTGCTGTGTTAACACATGGCAGAAAGGCAAAAAGAGAGCAAGAGAGGGTCGAACTCACCCTTTTATAATGGCACCAATCCCACTCATGGGGAGGGAGCCCTCTTAGCCTAATAACCTCTGGAAGATCCCGTCTCTTAATGCTGTTACAATGGCAATTAGATTTCAACATGAGTTTTAGAGGGAACATACATTCAAACCATAGCAACAACTAATCAATACCTTTGTTATCGGTTATGACAAATTATTTAGGAGAATGGAAGAGTCTCAAACTTTAGAAGCATTGGAGAATGCATAACTGAGGGAGAAACAATCCTTCTTTTTGTCGTCTATATGCTCTTTTCCACTAAATTGCTTTTAACCTGGGTAAGTTTCCCTCCCCACACCACTAGACACAGGGCTTGTTAAATATTTCTAGAGTGCACTAAGAGAACAATAAAACTGTAGTCCTATTTCCTTTGCTGAGTTTCTAGAGTCATTTATTTGGGGATAGCAGGGTTATTACTTAATGGTGACTTTTTTAAAAAAAAAAAAAGCAAAATAATATCTTTCTTAAATGGGAAAGCAAATTGTAAGAGAAGTGGACTGCTGTGTGGCTCCACTGAGACTCTCTTTGCAGCTAGAAGGGGGATCTAACACAGGAAGTGTTTGTTTGAAACCCGTCCACATAGATATATAAATAGCACACAACTGAGCACACAACTCCTCAATAAAGCCTGAAAGACTTTTAATGAGATTTCTCCCCTTGAATAATGTAATCTGTTGTCCTTTATTTAGTACTGGCCTAGAAATTGCATGTTCTTTTGTTTATTTCTTTTTAACCAGAATTACCAGTTTGTCAGTGAGCCAGGCTGCTTATATCCGCCGTGCCTTCTCTTTTGAAAAGCCCCTTTGTTACCTGGCAAGTGAAACATAGTCAGGAGAAGCAGAGGGACCGACAGTCTGAGATCATTAGACATTTGAGGTATTCAAACCAGTTTGAGGTGCCGTTGTTCATTTGTTGCCAGGACCAAATGGCCTTTTGGACCTCCTGGGCCTTTTTCTGTAGGGGAAAAATTAAGATCATATAGCAAGTATGTTAAAAGAGGAACCTGCTTTTCTTCATTGTGATCAAAAATCTTCTCTCTCAACCTGTCTCTGAAGAATATCTCCAAAAACTTTGTATTTTCAGATTTGAATTCAGATTCATTCATATTTGAGGGCAGGAAATAAACATTTTCCTTCCCTCTTTTTTCCCTCCTCCCTACTTTTCCTTTTTGGAGGAAAGGTAATAAATGCACATAGTAAAAACTTAAAATATGGCAAAAATCATACAATCCAAAGTAAAGCTCTCTTCTCCCTTTAATTCCTTTCCCAAAAGACAGGTACTTTTATTCATAACAGCTTATTGTCTGTCTTTGCAAAGACATCCTGTGTACCCTTTTTTAAAAACACAAATATTTTATAGATCATTGTATATTTTGTTTTTTCCACTTGGTATGGCTTAGAGATGGGAGCAGATACTACATGTTTAAGTAAGCTCTTTTCTGTGTACATTCACCATTAAATTATATACAGTTGCTAGTAGGGAATTAATTCCATATTATCCAGATAATATCGAGGTACAGAAGAGAATATCATTTTAGTGATTTTTCAGAAGTTTTTTAGTCGTTTCCCCTTCCCCTCCATTTTCAAAAATTTCGCAGAATTCTATACTTCCTGTAATTATATTTCTGTATAACTATACTTCCTGTAATTCCACACCCACAAAATCTATATTGCACAAGACACATGACAGCCCTGGGACCCTCTGGGGATGTGTAAGCCTGGGGTAGGCCCGTTGCTGTTTCAGTCTCTGCATTGAGTCTGTTTCTTTGCTGAACTGTCTGTCCCCAATCTGGAAAGCCTCAGCATATCGGGTTTGTTCTGGTCTTCTTTCTATAGATTCCATCTCTTCCTGGACTTCCACAATCCGTCAGGATGCTGAATCGGGAGGACTCTTCCTATCTAGATGTGCAGTCTGTGGGCTGACGGTCAGGGCATACCCACAGCATAGTACTCTCACAGCCTCTTTGCGGACCCCACCTAGTGATCTCACCTATTCATCAGCTCTCGGGAATGTCAATCACTGTACACTTTCCAGTATTAGCTGGTGGTCACTTGCTTTATAAAAATGCCACGGGGTGGGGAAGATGCATCCATCGCACCCAATAAGCAGAAACATTATGTACAGTAATGTTTTTGAAAAGTTTAACTTTCATTAATTTAAGAATCTTACCAAAAAATCAACATATTAAAGATGAATATATTTACTTAGTTTATAATTTTTTTAAAAACTGACCTAAATTATTCTCAGTGTTTTCCATGAGTTATTTCTAAATCAGCAACACTATTTCAGTTATAAAATTCTTTGAAGCAAAAATTCAAATATGCTAGTGTGGGTGGATCATGAACATTGAAACTAGATTATGAAGTTTTTTATAGTGATGCTTAAATTTGTACAATACCTTAAATATCTATAATAAACATAAAACATCAGGGAAAATTCAGGATGCTAGTTTGATTAGGTTACAGGGGTGATCTTAGTTTGGGATTCCTGGTTATTTCTGCGGAGATCAGTCACTTTTTAGTTCCACAAAGTCTTGATACCACTAGAGGGAGCTGTTGGTAGTGAAATCCTTGAGTGAAGAGGTTGGTCAGGAGGAGGAGGAGGGCTAAGACTAGGAAGCAGCTTGTGTTGGTCTGTGAAGCATCAATCATTACCTTGTCTGTAATTTTTAATCTTACTGGCTCTTACCCCCCCAACAAACATTTCCCTTCCATGTTTCATTAAAGATATTCTTCGCAACACATTGACACTTTCTCTGCCTGGTCTTCTCACATCCTGCTTTCATCCTATTAAAATTTGTTGCTGTGTTTATATTTTCTTGTGACTATAAAGTTTCTGAAACTCTTTTTGTGGTATAATAATCAAGTAGTCTTCCTTGGCGTGATATTTATGAATTCGGCTAGTTTTCATATATCAATGGAAATTGCATTTTAAACCTAAATACTTCTATTTGGTTTGCTTTTTATAATGAAGCCATAAAGATTTCATCCTATTCTGGCTTATAGAAAGTATTAACAACCAACAAAGAAGAGATGCTGGCTTGTACTTAGCATCCAAGCTAATGTTGTTCATATTGTCTTATTAGAACACCTGGAGAGTGCAAGTTCTAACTCAGGTATACCAGCTGCACAGAGAGGTGAGTTTGTCTAATTAAGCAAATAGTCACCAAAGGTGTGAAATTCTAGTTTGGTGATGCATAAAATTACAAAAATCGAAGAAATGCACTGGACAGTGGAATAGACACCAAAATGTGGCTTTATTATAGGTAGAATGTGTTTTTTATAAAAACATTAAACTAATATTTGAGTATTTTTAGCATTTTAATAGTTTCCCAGTTTGTAGAAATAAAATTTTACCTCTTTAACATTTTATTTCTAACTTAGCAGTAGTAAAATTTATTCTTTTTAAAAGGGGAACTTGTTAGGCTCACACTTGCCCCAACCTTTATATTATCGCAGGCTTTGTTGCCAAAAATCAGACACGGAAACAAAATATTGACAGAAATGACCCTTTGGTTTTCCTGTTACTAATGGTGGAAAGAAGATACTTTAATAACAGATAAATCAGTTAGTGATTTTTTTTAATGTATTCTTCAACATTTGATTCTCTTTTTTATTTTAGGGTAAAAATAGGGAAGGGAATTATTCACCAAGTTGGAAATGTAAATTAAAGTTCTAAAATAGAAACAACTAGAATATTGCAAATTTAAAAGAACGAGAAATAAAGCTAGTTAAAGCACAGTTTGTGGTCCTTTCATTGATATTTATGTTAGACCCCACCCATACCCTCCCTAAGAGACCACGCAACTATGACGTCACCAAAAACGCTCAGCCAGATAACTGAGAACTTGGTTTTGGACAAATCAGTGTCTAAAGCTTGACTCTTTACTATCTCTTACCTGATTTGAAAAGGACCATTCTTTTTCTAAGTTACAGTTAAATTACATCATCGGAAGGAGTGTTAAGACGAGTAAGAGACGTCATCTATATTTTTTCTTTGTTTTTTCTTTTGTTTTCTGTCTGTGTTTTCAGCAACGTCAGTTGATTACAGTTCCTTTGCAGACAGATGCAGCAGCTGGATAGAGCTCATTAAACTGAAAGCTCAGACCATAAGGCGTGGATCAATTAAGACAAGTAGGCGGATGTTTCTACCACATTATGATGATCTGAGAAGCATATCCCTGATTTCCCAGTGGTGAAGGCTAGACCTTACTACCCAGTAATAACATTGCCAATCCATCACGTATTGGAGTGTGAAAGCTGCAGAGTCTAATGGTTGTTTAGGAAAAGTCATTGAAAGGCCTTTAGATTTATTAATTTTAACTATAGAATTGTGTTTTTAAAATACTACTTTTTGTGAAGGTATTCTTAAAAGTATATAAATAGATATTATATCCTTCTAGATGAAAGGAAATTACCAGCTCTCTTATTGAAGAGACATTCTTCCAGGACCCAAGGTACTATTAGTATGTGGCATCTGTCAGCTTACTCAGTGTGATATCCAGAGGGCTAAATGAATAAAGTATTTCTGGAGAGAAAGTAGTTAACTTTTATCTCACTGCTAGAATCAGGATCATTACTTACGTGTTCCTTATCTGTACCCCGTGTGTTTTGGTAGATTTTGAGGTAAATATATTTGAGTGAAAGAGTTTATATGATAGTACATTAAAAGGGAAAGAACAGCATTTTAGAGGAAAGAACATAGGATATGGAACCAGCCAGATCTGGCTTTGAATCCTAGAAGTGCCATTTTAATAGCTGTGTGACCTTGGGCAAACTATTTAACTTTTCTAAGATGCAGTTTCTTCATGCGCAAAATGGGCATGATAATAACCTATGTTGCTGGTTGTTGCAAGGATTAGAGATATGTATATCTATGACTGGCTTATGGTAGTTATTTATTAAGTAGTAGCTATTATTTGTCAGTTTATAAACAAACAACTCTTAGATAGCCAAGGTCATTTGTTAAGTTTTTTTAAATTATGAATTTTTTTAATCAAAAACGTTTGGAAAAGAAATATATTACAAGTAGTTAACATAAGGTTTATCTACAAGTTGACAATGATGAAGTCGTCTGAAAAAGATGGAAAAACCGTACTGGGAAATATAACAACTTTCACACTCTCCTTGTAATAATTTGTTCCTACAGCAGATAATTTTAATGCTCTGCCGCTTTTTCTTTTTCTTCACTTTATAACCAATCATTGTGTGTGTAGCTACACTGCATCAACATTTTCTTTTGCAGGAATGCCATTTTTCTTCCAAACGAATTCCATTCCAGCATTTCCTCTTATATTTTTCTTTCTCTCTCTTTTTTAATTGCATGCGGTGCATGATAATTTCTTTTCTTTCATTACATGGCTTAGCCTCACAGACAGCTGAATGTTGTCACCACTTATTTGGAAACCTTAGGGAATAATCGAGTTACCAGCATCTGTTCTTAATGTTTTCTCCTCTTTCTCCAATTTTAGCTGTAACAGTTGAAAAAGCAAGTCCAATGGGTGAAGGAAATTTCCGGAATCGTTCTGCTCCACCTTGTGCAAATTCCACAGTTGGGGTTGTTAAGATGACACCTCTTTCTTTTATTCCTGGAGCAAAAATAACTAAATATCTTGGGATAATCAACATGTTTTTTATTCGGGAAACCACTTCTCTTCGTGAGGTAATTTTATAGAAGTTATTTCATTGGTTTTTTGCTTTTTCTCTGATTGAAGAGTTAGTAACAAAACCAAACAAGTTTCAAATTGTTATTTTTTGCCGAAATAACTTTCATATATGTATTTATATTTTATTTATATTTTAATAATCTGTCCAAATCGATTCTAAATTAGACTTATTTCATATATCAGCTAGTATTATCACAAGAGTTGTGTTAGGTTTAAACCTATTTATTGTTAGAAATCCTAGGTCCTTATCACATAGTAAATAAAACAAATAAATATCTATGTTTGATTAGAGGCTTAAAACAGTCCTGAAAGAACACTTTGTTTTCTCAGTAGTTATTTGCCTGAGATATATTTAAATAGCAATTTTTAAGGAATCACATTTAGAAATAGTAAGGAACTGCATTATAGGTATATGTCTATCTATGGAGATACTGTATATAATTTAGCTCTGCTGTTTCTTCCTTCTAAAAGGAATGAGGCTGCTTATTTTTCACTCTCTCCAGCAGTATATGAGAATGCTATTAAATTCTTATCTCACACTGGGTATCATTAAACTTTAATTTGTTTTCTAAATAACAGAAGTTGTAATATTTTACTTGATGTGGTTAAAGTTCAGAATCAGATTCAGCTCATATCTTTTGTAACACAGGAATTTATACTCAAGAAAAAACAAAATTATATTTTGTCTTATGGAATAGGTCTGTGAGCAAATTAATATTGTGAATAGGGAAATTTTTAAATTACTGAGGTATGAAGCCAAATTATCTCTTGAAATTTTACTTTAGCAGCAGTATATATTTTTTAAGTGTGTTCATTATAAAGATAAATTAATTGTGCCCTTTTCCCCATTGTTTTACCAGCAGTGTTTCTGTGCTTTCTTAGAAATAACAGGCTGCATATACTGTCTTTAACATCATGCTCACTGCCCTACACCCAGCATACTGCCTGGCACAAAGTCAACACAATTCATCTTTCTGTAAATGAATGAATGACTTCTGACAGATTAATAAATTAGATGGATGTTTCCTTTAAGATGAATTAGTTTTTAAATCATATTCTAATTATGTTGATATGGAGAATGAACTATCAAGATATTCTCAAAAACCTCTCAATAGAGAATGAAAATAGATAACTTCTAAGGCCATTTAAGTTTGACAAAGAAGGTTTAGTGTGAGAAGCTGGCATAGATTATGAATTAATCTTTTATAGTTGCTCTTGGTAGCACATGATTATAGCACTGTTTTGAATCCATTAAATTTTATTTCCTAAGTTTTCTCTACTGCTTAAGCTCCCATATCTCAAAATATTTCTTCATGGTAGATTTTTCTTTAGCAAAGACTTGTACTATTAACTGTAGGGCATGATATCCCAAATTGTCTGATGAGTAACTTTCTTACAGTCTATTAATATTTTCAAAATTAACGCTCTGAAGCTACTCTGTCATTACAATCTCTTGATTTAATGGGGAGGAGGAAATTGATAAAAGAAAAATGTATTGAGCTATGATTGAGTTGCTGGCAGGATGAAACAATTCTCTTAATTCTTTAATTACAAAAAGAAATACCTTTACAAGACTGTATATAGGATGCTCTGGCATTTCAGAAAGATGTAATCTAAATGGTTTTCTCACACTGCATTTAGTTTTTTCTTCAACTTCCAGTTTAAAGTTGATAATTTTCTCCTAGACTATAATTAACCTCCCAACAGAATTTGTAGGTACTTAGGTTGAAAAACATTTTAAGTTATTGACTAGCCTTTCATTTCTATTTTGCTTGTTTTTGAACATGGAAAAAGTTCCCCGAACTACTGGATTTTATTCCCTAACAATTGTGTATGAAATACTTACGTGCGTCTGTTGAACTAAGTGTTACTGTTTAGTTTTGTGCAAAACAGATGCAGTTGCTGACCTGGTGCAGTTTACAGCCTAGTGGAACTAGAGCATGGTGGACATTGAACAAATAGTCATATACCTAGTACATACTTAACTGCTATCAATACTGGTGAGAGTAAGTGCTATAAAGAAATCAGACAGAAGTGATCAGAGAATATAATCAGGGAACTTAATTTACATTTGAAAGTCAACGAAAGTATCTCTGAAGTTTTGTGTAAGTTGGAACCTACAGGATTAAGAGTTGTCCTGTATGAAAATTGAGTAAGAAGTCTTCAGGAACAACATGTGCAGGAAAAGTACTTGTATATTTGAGAAACTGAAAAAAAGGCAAGTGTGACTGGAACATGGTTCAGAATGAGGTATATGGATAGCAGGGAAGTTTTGTTAGGTTTACCATCAATGTATTTTAACAATGATGAGCATGATTTGATAGAGATATTGAAAATGGAGGCACAATTTGAATTATTGCTCTGCCATTTACTTATTAGCTGTGTGATCATAGCTGGTCATGGGCAACTTAAAAATCCTCTGAGCTTCAGTTTCATCATCCTGTAAAGTAGGTATAGTAAATCCCTGCCCAGACATGTTCAGTAAAACTGTGGTCCCCAACCCCTGGGCTGTGGACCAGTGCTGGTCCATGGCCTGTTAGGAACCGGGCCGAATAGCAGGAGGTGAGCTGTGGGCAAGTGAGCGAAGCTTCATCTGAATTTACAGCTGTTCCCCACTGCTCGCCATCCATCCCATCCCCACCCCCCCAGTCTCTGCAAAAACTGTCTTCCATGAAACCAGTCCCTGGTGCCAAAAAGGTTGGGGACTGCTGCAGTAAAGATTTCTTGTTCATTCATGCAATAAATCCCCATTATGAAGAAAATTTAAACTATCACTATATTAAAATAATAAGGATGTTTTAGTATATATTCTTTGACATTTTGTATACATTCCAATGTACATAAATACATAGTACAATTTTCTCATGCATTATTATTTAGGAAGGAGGAGTCAGTGGTTTTCTCCATGCTTTTATTGCTGAAGTGTTTGCAATGGTGAGAGCTCATGTTGCTGCATTAGGAGGGAATGCTGTTGTCTCCTACATAATGAAGCAGTGTGTCTTCATGGAGAATCCAAATAAAAACCAGGTGAGATGCAGTTAAAAATCTCTGACTGGGGGAACCTGAGAATTTCTTCCATGGCCTCCCACCCCTCACCCACTCCAGAAGAGAATTTCTCTTCAGGGCTCTTTGATTCTAGATGCTTAAAACATATTTTAATGAATTTTTTAATAACCGTGGTCATATATAGCTCAGAGGCTGTTTTCACATCAAGGTAAGACTATTCTGGGATTTCCACTGCTGGGATTTCTTCTCCTGCGTTAGTATTTCCACTATGTTTTTGGTGGGCGTTTGGAATACACGATGGCTAACTGAGGAGAGCTAAAGACACCGTTTAGTTTGGACTATGATGCTGTCCATTTTTAACTGCCTCGCTGCTGAAGAGTATATCTGATGGGGCCACACTGCTGGTTTATTTCTAATAAGTAATTTTCTTAATGGGGATAAAAGAGATAGATTAAATTTTAGAGTAAATTTCTTTTATCAGTTTTGAATTAAAATAACTCACTTAAAATTGTTAAAGATTTCCTTAAAAAATTAAACAACTACGTTAATAATATGAGATATCATAAAGGCAGTACTTTCCAACTTGCTCCTGTTGGCACAAATCAAAAATCTTATTGTTTGTATGGCATGCTATGATAAGTGGAAGAAGCTACTTGTGGCTGGTGGTAATTGACCCCAGGTTTCTGGCCCAAGGGGCTCCCCCGGGTTGGGGCGGGGTATGGATTGGGATCACTGTCTTGGTGTACACAGAGTTTAGGAAGCTCTAATATAGGCTGGTAACTCATCATCTGAACAGGAATAAGAATAAATAGATGGGTGTATGTATATATTTTGCTCCCAGCTTTATATCAGATAAGTGTAACTGAAGACAGATCATTTAAATTCTTAGTACTCTTGTTTCTTCATTGATAAAATTATCTTACAGTGAAAGTAAGATATTATCATAAAAATGTAAGCAGTTTGAAAAGACATTATGGAAATTCAAAATGGTTTTAGCTTTATTTATTATTTTTGCGAGTTGGGGTCTTGCTATGTTGCCCAGACTGGACTCCAACTCCTGGGCTCAGGTGATTCTCCTGCCTTAGCCTCCTAAGTAGCTGGGCTGGCCGGGACGTGCCACCACATCTGGCTAGTTTTAGCTTTATTTTGCAATCATTAGGTTTAATAAATTTCATCAGAAGGATACTTCATTTACTAAATCCTTTTCAGCTTTTTTTGATAGACATTTTTGTTACTCAGAGTATATTGTACTTCATTAATAGATGTTGAAGAATAGTGATAAAAGTGCAGGACAACTTTCTGATAAATTTTAGCAATGACTAAGGTAAGTTAGAGTGGTAAGGGAACCTATGAAACATTCTAGGAGAATTTTTGGTAGATAGTTGGGGCATATCTAGAGCTTAGTGAGATTTCTAGACTGAAGTTCTAGATTTGGGATCTGCTTATTGATATGATTTGGAGCCAAGGAGACTCTGTAGAGTGGTTAAAAAAGGGACATGGAGAAAAAGAAAAGAGCCAAAAAGGAATAGAGAGGTAGGAAAACCAGGAGAGTCTGAGAACTACCTCAACAGAGGTTATTTGAAAATGGATTTAGAATGGAAACCAGATAAAGCACATCCTAATCAGGATTATTTGCTGTAAACAATTTGATATCATCTGGTAACAAAGCATCTGTTAGTTTTTAAATTAACCTTCTTCAACTGGCCAGATCTTTGTAATAATTTTATTTAATATAATAGGATTTTTCCAGTCCTGTTTAAAAGTTTCTTTTTTGTTTCATTATTTTGTATTTGAAATTGAAATTTGTATTTTGGGTTTTTTCCCCCCTGGTGTTAGAGTTATATGATTGTTCACTAATTAACTTAATTAACACCTTGCAATTGCCTCAAAATCAACTTATCCAAAACAGAACTTATCTCTGTACCTCAGTTTGCTCATCTGTAGCATTGGGATAAAAATTGGGGAAATCATGAGTTAATATATGTAATGTGTTTAGTGTCCGGTGGATAGTAAATACTGTAAAAGTTGTTGCTATCATTTAAATGTGTAAAAGTCTTTAATGACTTCTTACAGGATAAAACTTAACGTCATACAAGGTGTTCCACACTTTCAGGTGGAAGGTCATCCTACCTTTTCAGACTCACCTGTTGCCTCTCACCTGTCCTAACATATACATACCCTGTACTCTAAGTATATTACATTGTTTAGTTTTCCACATGAACTGTGCTTTTTTTCGTTTCCAGCACTTTGTAAAGTGTTGATATTAACTTCATTTTGTAGGAGAAAAAACTGAGGCTTAGAGCACTTTTGGTACGAGGCTATAAATAGAGAAGCTACAACACACCCTGGATTTCTTTGATTCCAAATACTGTGGGCCTTTCTACCACCAGCCCCCTCCCTCTGTGCCCAATTAATAACTGGCAATTACTGATCACCACATATGGGCACACATATCAGGTGCCATGCTTTATGTCATTTAGCTTTTTTCCGCATTTATTTGATATCTTGCGTATGCACAAAAAACGTATAGAGACTTGCTTAATAAACACTCTTACCCCTAACACTCAGCTTAAGAAATGAAATATTAGA